TCAGGAGAGTCGTCGCCGCCGTAGTCCGTAGAGGCAGCGAAAACCTCGGGGATAACCTCCCCACGAGAAGTCAGAGCTCCATGCTTTCGGCAGTGAAGGTTGTCGTCGCTCTACCGGCGATAAGACTGGGAACTTAGTCGTTTAGAGGATGAAGAAAGGTCTGTTCTGGTACACCGTCTCGAAGCAGACACGGTACCGGCGGCGGCAATGAGACGTTCGGAAACTGGGGAAAGCGAGTCCGTTCGAGCAGTACATGGTCTGTTTCATGTCGGTACTGACCGTCCCGAAGCTCTAGAACGGGATGCGGGAGGACCCGTAGTAGCCCCATTCGGCGCAAGGGGGTAGGAAAGCTTGACAGTAGTAATGACTGCCAGTATTGCTAGTCCCGTAGATGCCACCGGAGAAGTAGTTTCGGTTGTACCTGCAACGGGCTACCTTTTTCCGTTTCAGCACCGAGGGGTCGGGGTAGTGGGTCCAGGACCGGCACCGGAAGGAGTGACGGGAGCATTTGATGGGGTTGGTGATGTACTTCAAGGTCTGGAGGCTAGAGCACAGACGGGACAAGTGGCTCACAAGGGTCTTGGAGCTGCTAGTTTAGCCGGACACGTTCTGGCCGCGGCGTAGTCGGCCGTGGTAACAGGAGGAGTAGAAGCGGCGGGAGCAGCCGAAGAAGGACCGGTGGTAGTGCAAGCCTGACGTTTAGGGTCGGCCGTAGTAGGACGGGAGGTACCGGTAACCGCGCGACCAGCCAGCGCGCTACCCGTAGGACTACCTCTAGACCCAGCTGTTGCGAGCGCCGAAGAAGGAGAAGTTCTGCACGCGGGGCCTGCAGGGGACGCAGTGGGGCCGCTGGATGCGGTAGCAGCCGCGTAGGCGGCGGGATCGGCCGCAGTGGGCGTACTGGCACAGGTAGCAGCAGTAGTACAAGCTCGAGTGGCCGCGGGACTGCATGCAGGAGGGGTAGTACCACCGGCAGTACTAGAGGTTTACCCATCCGCTGCGGAAGAGCGCGGCGCCGTAGATGCTCAGGACCTAGGTGGAGTTGCTTATGGGGAAGGAGCTGTTGTCGCTCCTCCAGAGGTAGGGGCTGCAGGGGCAGCGGCTGTAGTACTGCGCGTAGCTCCTGGAGCAGCAGGAGTGGCGGTGGCCGGTGTGGTACCGGAGGGAGCGGTCGCAGGAGCTCTACGTGGGGGTGGCGCCGAAGGGGCAGTAGAGGCTGGGGGCGCTGCGGTAGGACGAGCCGATGTAGAGGGCGCGGCTCGAGAGGATGTCGGAGTTCTGCCGGCGGGTCGGGCACCTCTCGCTTACGAGCTGTCGCAGTCAGGTTAGCGACTACGAGCAGTGGACATTGGATTTTCAGTCTACCTGCCTTCGTTGTTGTTGATATTGGGGAATATCTTGATGAAGAGGTTTGCGCAGCAACAGGCTACATGCACCAGAGGGCCCTCCTTTCCCAGCCACATGCCCGAAGACACAGCAAGGACCTGTCCGAGTAAGCTTTTGACGACCTACCGCGCGATATGCTGGACGAAATCTTACCAAGCCAAAGGACTTTGTCACCAACGTCCAAGGACCGAGAAACTTGCGAATGACGAATCCTCCCAAGACGGTCTTGATCTCGGGGATACCGCTGTGCTTCGCATAGATGGCATATTCCTGCACCAGCAACGCCGCGCAGTACGCAAATAGGACCTGTGCAGACGTCGGGTCAGTGCACGAACACGCAGCAAGAAGAGACAACGAAGGCCGCATACACCAAAGGCCAAGAAGAAAAAGTACTCAATGAACCATTTGCCTCCGGCCGAGTGGATGCCCAGAGCCTCGCTCCAGAACCTCCATCCCGCGCATTTCGAGCCCTGGTCGTACCCGTAGCAGCAGAAGTTCTTGTTGAGGTAGAAATGCCCTCCCTCGGGCCCGCTGGTGCAGAAGCCCAGCTTGACGTCGCCGAGCCAGTCGGTGGTGATATCGATGAGCGCCGCAATGACGCCCACGGCGAGGCCCGTCAGCAGCAGCACGATCCAGACCTGGCTGGCGTCCAGCAGGTGTCGCACATAGCCGATGATGCCGCCGCCCGAGCTCGACGCCAGCACGCGCAGGCGCTGACGCTCCTTTGTATACTCAAAGATCCAGTCGATGGCCGTCAAGTCCTCGTAGCCGACGCGGCGCCCGGGGCCTTCGGCGTACCAGTCGTTGGCCAGGCCATCCTTCGAGCTGGCGGGCGTTGCGCTGCCGAAGATGTGTTCGCGCAGCGACCCGGAGAGGCTGGTGAGCGAGGACAGAGAGGCGGACTGCTGGTGTTTGGGCGGGCGCTGGTGCGTTCGAGGCGGCGAGGCTGCTGCGGCGGCGGAGGAGGAGGAGGAGGAGCCTGTCAGGGTGGAAAAGACGCGCAGCGGGTTGGACAGCAGGCCGGGCTTCTGCTTGCGCTTGAAGGAGAGCGGCGCGCTCAAGTCGCCGTGGATCGGGTCATCGTCGAGGATGTCGTTG